GAATTGCTTGAACCTGGGCGGCAGAGGTTGCAGTGAGACGAGATCACACCACCTTACTCCAGCCTGGGTGACAGAGCGAGGCTCCATCTCAAATAAATAAATAAATAAATAAATAAATAAATAAATAAATAATCAGTCTGAAAGACTAGTTGTCCTGCCCCATTTAATGACAGAGCTTAGTCCTCTCACTGAATGCTCAATGCATTGAGGCCAGTGGCTCTTCTAGCCAGATTGATTTTGAAATACTCATTTTGGTTTGGGGCAGAAAAGGATTTACATACAAATCTCATCCACAGTAGTGCCTGGGACCCTCTGCATGCAAATTTGCTAAGAAATATCCTCAGGGTTGCTGCTGTCCCTTGTGGGGTGGCAGGGCTGCCGAGCTGTTCTCCACACCCATACTGCTGTTAGACTCTCCTTCCTAACTCCCACTGAGGTGCCGCCTCTGTAGAATTCATAAATTGTCCCATCCCAGGTCAATGCAGTTCAGTGTGAAAATGTTATTACTGATGAACATCCAGGGATCAAATTATAATGTGGCTCGGAGCTAACGCCTAACAACCCTGCACACCCAGCAAAAAGCTACTGGCATACCCAGTGAGATGTGGCAGTGTCATTGGGGTCCAAGAGGCATGGGTGCTGATTGTACAAAGCCCTCTCATTCTAACTGGGCAGACAAAGCCCCACATGGGTCCTTCCCTGAAGCCTTCCTGCCAGAGAGCCCAGCTGTGTGCTGCTTGTCCTTGAAGACTTTTGACCTCATCCACGGTTCAGGGACAGCTGGCAGGTAGGCCAGCCAATCCCTTCTGGCCCCCACCACTGGTCCCTGCAGCATTTGGGACAATGTTGTGCTGTTGCACATAAGTGTAGTGCCTTCACCCCCAGGTTACTAAGGAAGACCCCCAGAAGCACTGGAAGGAGTTTCATCATTTTCCTAACACCTTTACTTTTCAAGCAGTCCCCCTGCTGCAGCTGTCCAGGCCCAGGAGTGCTTCCTCCTTAGGTCTAGCCACAAAAGGAAGGCCAGTGCGCTTGGAGGGATCAAAAGGTGTCCTTTGGAGGAGAACAGTTAATATAGGAAAGCTAATATAGGAGGCTTTCCCAAAAGTAGTTTTAACCATCGACAAGTATACTTGAACAGCAGCACAGCTCAGACTAGTAAGAAACTCAGTTCTTGTGCAAGGATGAGATAAGATACGAGGACCTACTGTTTGACTAAAAGTCACTTCTGAATCCATTCATGTAGCTGCTGAGTGCCAGAGGAGGGGCAGAGATCTAATCGCTCAAGGGGAGAAATGACTGCCATCTGGAGTGGTCAGGACTAGCTCCAAATAGCAGGTTTAATTAGAGTGAAGGCTCAATGCAGGGGAAGACAGTAGACTGAGAGGGGGCATCCCCAGAGAGTGATCAGGATGAGGAGTAGCACAGAGAGAACCCAGCAAGCAGGCAGTAGCCTGCACTGGCTGGAGCCAAGGGTTTAGGTGCATGAGGCCAGGTTGGGGCCAGATTGTGTGGAGCTTTAAATGTCAGGCTAAGGAATTTATCAGGGGGATGAAATGATCGAACAGGTGTTCTAGGAAGATGAATTTGAAGAGAATGTGCAGGATGAATAGGAAAATCTGGAAGCATGGCAACAATTCGAAGGCTGTGAGATTAACTAGGCTGCTGCAGTAGTCCTGTGTGGGTTGATAAGGGTGTAAATGAGCATAGTGGTGGCAGAAATGGAAAAGGTACAGCTGCAAGAGACTTTGTTAAGAAAGAATGGATGAGGTTTGCTGCCTGATTGGATTGGGGATCCAGGGAGCTCCAGGAATCAAAGATAACACCAGAATTTTGAGCATGGGCAACTGGTAGTACAATGAACAGAAAAAGGGATGTAAGAGGAAGCTGATAGGAGCAGATGTGAAGTCAGTCTCACACATGGGGTTCACAGAATATCCAAACAGAAATGTCTGACGGGTAGATGGAAATCAACACTACAGTTCAGGAGAGACACTATGCTTGATGGATTTGGGAATCAAAGGCAGAGAGGTGATGAATGAAGTGGAATGAATGAGATCTCTAAGGAAAATCATATACAGTGAATCAGAGGACCAAAGACTGACCTTTGAGGAATGTGTGCATTTCAATGTGTGCATTTCTTATTACAAAGCTGCCTAGAAAGGGCTGGGTGCGGTGGCTCATGACTGTAATCCCCGCACTTTGGGAAGCTGAGGTGGGCAGATCACGAGGCCAGGGGTTCAAGACCAGCCTGGCCAACATGGTGAAACCCCGTCTCTACTAAAAATACTTTGTCCCACTTCCAAAGTGAAGGGCGATCTGTGTGTTCAGGTGTTGTCAGTCTGATCCTTTCATTTGAACTTTCTTACCAACCCTCATGCAGCCATCCTGTTTCTTGACTGTACATTAGAATCACCTGGGAAGCTTTTTAAAACTCCTGAGGCTCAAGCCACACCCCATATGAAGATCAGACTCTTTGGGAGTGGGACACAGGCATTTTCTAAAGTTTCCCAGGAGGGACCCAGTGCAGAGGCTCACGCCTGTAATCCCAGCACTTTGGGAGGCCGAGGTGGGTAGATCACTTGAGGTCAGGAGTTCGAGACCAGCTGGGCATGGTGGCGGGAGCCTGAATCCCAGCTACCTGGGAGGCTGAGGCAGGAGAATCGCTTGAAACTGGAAGGCAGAGGTTGCAGTGAGTCAAGTGCAGTGAGCTGAGATTGCGCCACTGCACTCCAGCCTGGGCAGTAAGAGCAAAACTCCGTCTCAAAAGAAAAAGAAGAAAAAAAAAAAAAAGGAAAAAGAAAGTGCCACCCCACATGCTGCGTGTCTTTACTGTTAAAATATAAAATATCAGTGTCAAGTATATTTTAGTTTGAGAAAGCCACACAACATAACATTTGTATGTCTCAGTAGAAACTAAATTATAAATACCTAACATGCCTCTAAAAGAAATCTGGCTTAAGGATGATATTTATAGACAAAGAAAAGGATAAATGATGAAGTGAATGTAATCTAGAGGATTAGTGGATCTGATCCCACAAGAAGTCAAGCAATCAAAGAAAAACTTGTGACATATATCCTGTAAATAACATTTGATCAGAGATATTAGTAGACATTTATTCATTTTAACACAAGGACTAAAAAAATTGCCTTATTTGCAGTGCACTGTCTTCCTGAGGGGTGAATTCAAATGAATCCACCAAAGTATTTTTTAATAAAAGCTATATTTAAGTACAAACTGGCTCAAATATTTGGGAAGAAAAGCTAATATAGGAAAGCTACCCAGAGTACAGTAATCCACACTAGACTTACTAATAGTATGCAAACAAAACATCTTTTTAAGTGTGTATCCCTATGTATATATTTATTGTAGACTGTATTTTTTTAGTCACTTTAAAAATAAAATATTATTGCTTTGAATTTTTAGACTAAAAGCTAAGTCCTATAAAGAAAAAAAGACCTTTTGTCTTATGCATTGTTAAAATTTTTCTCCATAGTGCTTTTAATAAAGTGTATGCAACTATATAGTTTAACAGCATAACAACTGTTATTCCAAGACATCTTCAGTAACTTTTGAAATAGCAAATTTAAATTTTAACATGTTCTTATATTTAACATGTTTGATATTTTCTTCTAGAATATCATAGCAAATAAATATTTAACATACACCGAAAGTACTTAAAAGATAAGAAGCTCTTTTCCTTTGGACATCAACTTTTAAAAACACGAACAACTTTTTGAAAGACAGAATTTACAAAGACAGAACTGTACTGACTTGAATTTGGAATTTACTAATTACTGGTGATACTTTAGTGAGTTTACATATGTGTATTATTACTAGATCTTAAACCATACTGCATATAACAAAAAAAGAAAATAATTATACTTCTCTTCCAGAGAGTAATGACTATATTCAAAGTCTGAGGCAATGACAAAATGGGATGCACATCTAGTAATACTGACATACAGTTCCTTCAGAAAAGACTAGTTTCAGCTGTTTCCAGGTTTACATAAGATGATGGAAGCAGTCTCTAATATGTTAATCAAGAAAATATACGCAATTGCCAGTTACTACATATACATACAGAAAATAAAGATGGTGAGTCAAACAAAACATACAAACTTGGTAACTTCTCTCCAGATATTTTGAACATATTTTAAAAATTTAAACAGGATATCACTGTGATCTTAAAAAGAGAACTTTAAAAATAACACATTATGGAATAGTAAAACTGAGCTGCTAAAACCAAAGTGGTAAACAGTTTTCTTGATGTCCTCAGACTCTTAACTAAAACCCAAATTAATACTACCAGCTAAAGTTAATCCAAGTGTTGACTTTTTAAATGTCAATACTGTCAAACCTCCTTTAATAATATTTTAAAATATATGTAAACTTAACACATTACTTAAGAGTTAATCTCATTTCTTTGAATGTGGGCTTTGGCCTAACTTGCAGAACGCTGGGGAAACATTAAAAAACAAAACAAAACAAAACAAAACAAAACTAAATCAGCAATTTTCTTACTTTCTAAGTACTTATACTATTAAATAAAATAACTGAGGCTGGCCGCAGTGGCTCACACCTGTAATCCCAGCACTTTGGTAGGCCAAGGTGGTTGGATCACCTGAGGTCAGGAGTTCGGGACCAGCCTGGCCAACATGGTGAAACCGTCTCTACTAAAAATATAAAAATTAGCTGGGTGTGGTGGTGCGTGCCTGTAATCCCAGCTACTCAGGAGGCTGAGGCAGGAGAATCGCTTGAGCCTGGGAGGCAGAAGTTGCAGTGAGCCAAGATC